TCTCTCTTTTATGTCTTGGAGCAAAATTCATAAGGCAACATATGTGCTGGACCGGTATACTAAACATTACAGCAAGATCAGTAACGGAAAAAGTTAAAGACTTTAGAGGATTACATCTTGGGGGGCAGAGAGAGAGAGAGAGAGAGAGAGAGAGAGAGAGAGAGAGAGAGAGAGAGAAAGAGAGAGACAGAGAGAGAGAGAGAAGAAAAAGAGAGAAAGAAAAGGAGAGAGTTAAAGGAAAGATAAAACAGTAGAAAAAGCAAACAAGAGAAAAGGAGAGAGTAAAAGGGTAGAAAAAGAGTGAAAGTGTTGAGAAAAAAAAGATGGAGAGAGAATAAGAGAGAGAAAAGAGAGAAAGGGACAACAGAGAGAGTACAGAAAGAAATAGAGAAAGGAAAGGGGACTAGAGAAAGAGCAAGAAAAAGGAAAGAGAGAGACAATAGGAGAAAAGAGTGCATGATAGAGGAAAGAAAAAAAGGAAAGAGAAAGGAAACAGGAAATGGAAGAAAGAGCAAAAGAGAAAAAAGAAAGAGAATGGAAATAAAGAGACAAAGTAAAAAGGAAGAGAGGCGAGAGAAAGAGAGAAAGAGTGAAGAAAGATGGAACAGATGGGGGAGGGATACAGAGAGAGAGAGACAGAATGTGTGCTTTCCAAGTTTTTTATTCCTCTTTCATTTGTGAGAAGTAAATGTGGAATTTAACATCATTTTTTCCTCCACCACAGATTTTTTCGCTTTAAGACTTTAAAAAAAAGAAAAAGTTGACTGGTTTTGGACACCACATGATCTGAGCCTGGAGCATCTGTGGCCTATATATAGCCTATATTATATATATGGCCTATATTATATTAAAGAATGCAGCGATAAAAAAGATATATTGTCCTCTCTTCATAAAGGAGGCTGTCTATTTGCTCTTTGAGGTATTTAGCCATGCAGTAAGTGTGTGTGTTGTTTTTTACACAGGTCATATGGAGGACTGTGCGTGTGTGTGTGTGTGTTATGTGTTATGAAACACTGGGTTTCATTATGAACAGGACAAAAGCAGGTTGTGTATGTGCTCTGTGGGTTATTAAAAGTTGGCTCTTTATTCTTTTCAGTCAACGAGGGTCAAGCTGAGGCTTGTGAATTCCAGCTTTGGCCAGCTACCCACAAAGACTTTTTCATTTTTTTCCCCACTGTTCAGTGTTCCACATGCGGTGGCTGGGTGCAGACGCAGTCCAGGAATAACATCTCCATCTCCAGACATTCCTCAGAGCTGTCGGGATTTGCCTTTGTCGCTCTGAAGACACACTGCAGTGCAGCAGGCAGAACAGCAAAACATTCCTCTGGATGAGATGGAGATTTTCACTCATTGCTTTTTCTTTTATCGCTTTGTAATTGTTTTGTTATTGTATTTAGACCAATGTTTGGCTTTGCACCAAAGGTATTGTAAGCAAGGTATTATCCATAAAGCTTCAAATATAATTGGAACCCCTCTTCCTTCCTGTTTATATTCAGTGAACTTTTTAGTGAGCAAAGATAACTTCAGATTCCTCTCATCCAGCTTACCATCTTTCTTTGATTCCTTCCTTGTAGAAGGTCCTATAGATCTTAAAAAACTAAGGCTGGCTTTACACTGTGAAATTTTCATGCCCCTAGTTGCATGTTGCGAGTTACAAGAAACATAATTGCTGTGCAACTTGACAGATACACAAATCAATTAAAAAACAACATGCAATAAACCATGTTCTGTTTTATTTTCCTGTCCTTTCAGCCTGAGCAGTCAATCGTTTGATGTCATTTGATATGAATATATGATGCATTATTAGTGTAAATGTATTAGTGCTGAGATTTAAATTAGTTGCAGGATGCTTTACATTATGTAACTCAAGTGTGATTTAGTTTCATGTAGATTACAAGAAACTAAATTGCATGACACTTTCGCTATGTGTAGTCAGCCTAAAACAACCCATTTCAAGAATAGTTTCTTTTCTGTTGTGAGAAAGTTATTATTCTGAATAGAATATTATTCTGCCTTTAAGATTTTCCTGTCTTTATAAGAAAGTGTTTTATATTGTGCATTGTATGTAGGCATGTGCTGTATCGTATCTGCACTGTGTATTGTGTTATCTCAGATTTACATCCTGATGCACAATTACCACCGACATGTTGTGTGGCAAAAACCGAACTGGATTAGTTTTACTTGGGTAGGTGCTGTAATTTAATGGCCATAGTTTTTATGAGTCTGCTAAATAATAATGCCAGAGTTAATGACCTCCTATAATTCACCAAACTCGAAGCTCCCTCAGTAATAGTAATCCAGTTCAGTAAAATAATAAAAAAAGACCCTTTACTCCATCTGAATCAGCCAGTCAAATCATACACAAATTACATTACTAGACCAACTCAGTAAAACTAATTCAGCTCAAATAGGGCATAAGCTGCAAAAATAGGCGGTTTGGAATTCACTGTTTTTGTGATGACACGTAGACCAATTTTACATACATATTTACATATATCCACCTGATCAGCCTACAGTAGTTTAGCTCCGCCGATTTATGCTAAAGTTACAGGGAGTGTTTCAGTCCAGACTGCTGTCAAATGATCTATATCTAAATATCTTTTGATTGTTTTATTCCTTTCAAATGAAAGGTCGCATTTAGATTAGGATCTTTTAAGGATACACAGATCTATTTTTTTGCAGAATCAAGCTAATGTTAACATGTTAGCATCTTGTTCTTGTTTTCCTACCTATTTAGTTCAGAATTAGAGAGAGACTTTATTGTTTATTTTTTGTTTGGTTGCAGAAAAGTGTATAAAATGCTTCATATATGCTGTCCTATAAAACTTCACAGGTTTCAAATCATTTGTAAGACACTAGAAAGCTACAAATAAAAATGAAGGAATGTTGGATTTGTGCAGAAGGATGAACATCCGTAGACAATTCTAAAATGACTAAGAAAGCTGTACAGAATCAAGAGTGAAGTTAGAATTAAATTCATATACAGAATTTATAATATTTAAAAATTGGAGATCTTAAGGCAAAATAATCAGACAAAAAAATTAATTAATGTAAATAGATAATTACAGTTTTCTATTAATCGTTTTATAATTTCACAGAATTCTTGAACTACTGAATAAAACACAAACTAGTGTAGTCCAGTTAGTTAGTGCAGCAGTTTAAACTGAAGACTCAGAGTTTAGTAGCTCTAAACAAACTGTGCTACAGTTTCTCATTTGGTTAAATGGGGATTTTACTAGAGCTCTGTAAAACTTGTCCAGCCTCACAAAATCAGCTACAAAAGAGTGAAATTGTGGGCGGAGCATGGACAGACCAATTGTTCAGCAGATATTCTCAGAGATTTTTACATTGCGTAATGTTTGTACATTGTGTGACATTGTTTTACCAAATTAAACTCTGTTCATCTTTAAGCTTAAACTCAGCAGCTGTAACGACTGCACAGACTTTTGACAGGCAGCGAACACTCTTACTGCTCTGTAGCACAGTCAGTTTCAAACAAATTCCACCAATATCACAGCCCAAAGCTTTTCAATACTCTGTCATACAGTTTCTGAACTCTAGTGTCTCCTTTTTGTTGTGTTCCTCCAGAAAGCACACCCGAATTCATCTAATTGGAGGCTCAGTGATCATCTGCTGTGTTTCTGACAGGCTGAAATACAAGCATGACAGGAGTACTTTACACATGGGCCTAAACTAGAGCTAAACTGCACAGAAAATCCACTTCTTTAGAAACATCTACCTCTTGCTTCCACTCACCGGCCACTTTACGAGGTCTAACCACCTTATAGATCAAGCCAAGTTGACAGAGAAAAGCTAAGAAAGAAATTCATCTTTAAATGAATTTCTTTCTTAGCTTTTCTCTGTCAACTTGGCTTAAAGGGGATTTCAACCAATTTTTTCAAAATCTCTGCACAATTACACCATTAAGACATAAAAAGTCATTCAGTGAGTGTTGATGAGAAATGCTTCACTGCAGAGAAACTTACAGAGTGAGAATTGTTCACAGTGGTGGTGGTAGGAACCAGATGTCTGAAGATTTTATTGCCTCTAAAAGCTGTTTGATGTCTGAGACATTGCATAAAATGGTAAAAAAGTAACATGTAGGGTGTTGTAAGGCGAAGCAGAAAACATTTTTCAGATATACCACTATTTTACCACTAACATGGCAGGAAGTGTTGACAGGAATTGATGTCAAGTTTTGGCTCAGCAATTAGACTGGAGACAGATGTTTTGTCTTTTGTCTTTAGTCTCTTTAGAACCTGAGTGAGAGTTTTGAGCATTTTATAGGCTATACCTAATCTCCAGTTGTTTTACATTTAATTTCATCTTGCCTTTATTCTTCATTTCATCATACCTTTTTGTTTGTAGAGTGCCTTAATTTTGATGTTGTTTTTAACAATATGTCACTGTGGAATGCCACCTACCCATAGTGTTACAGTTTAGCAAATGCTAAAGATTGTGTGATATGCTAGTCAAATTCCCTCTTTATATTTGCTATTAATTCTGACCTCCTGTGGTCAATGAAACTGCTGAGACCATAGCCGGCATAGGCGAAAGAGTCAATCTCCTTAGGCCTCACATTTCCCAGGGATCTCCAGCATGACATTTTTTGTTGTTTACTGCATACTTGCTTTTGTCCCTGAGTTTCCATTAGACAAAATAAAATCCCTTCAAACGCAAAGTCCACCAAAAACATTTACCCAAAGTATATGTAAAATTTTAAATACCTAAAATCCTGTGGCAATGCGTGCCTATACTGTTCTGCATTTGGGAAAGGATTACACCCTAGACTGTCACCTTTTAACAGGGAGCTGCTCCTCAGTTCAGTTACTGACCAGTTCAACTTCAGTAACTTTAACTGTCTCTTTGTTATTTATTATTTTATATTATTTATGTAATGACTCAGTCTATCAAAACTGCATGTCTTGTATAGAGAATGTACTACTAAACACAGAAAGACATAATGTAAACATAAAAAAACATCCGAGGGATGTTCTTACCCGTGTCTCTGGTATGATGGGTCCGTTCTCCGGAGATGATCTGAAGAACGTAGAGAGCGGAGTGGTGAGGATGAGAGGGCTCGGCCTGATGAAGCCACTCAGATCACAGCTGGGGATATCATTCTGTTCCTTCTTGAGCACCAGCGTGTCCATCACGTAGAAAACGTTCCATGGCACCCACACGGTGCGCTGCTGGGTGAGGAACGGAGCGCGCTCAAAACTTAGAGTCAGGGAAGCTCCACCGTTAGCCAGGATATCAAACCTGAGAAAGAGAGAGGATATGATTGGTTTATCAAAGAAACATAAAAAATGGATCTATCCATACTCTGCCCACAAATGCACTCTTTTAGCAGGAACTGTTGGACTTAACATATTAAATACTAAGTGGCTTTATTTAGAGACTGAATTAAAAATTTACTTCAATAGCAACCAACTGATCTGTCAATGCTCCACTCACAAACACGTTCTTTTGTAGTAACTGTTTCTAGGTTTGCGAAAGCTTGGCAGAATTCCATTCAACCTAATGAGAAACTGTAGCATAACTTTTTGTCTACATTTAGACGATTATTAATTTCAAATGACATTTATTTTGTACGTTAGTGTAGAGCGGGTGAATTTTTTTATTGTATAATCAAGCTAACATTAGGACAGTTATCTTTACACCCTTCATTGATTGTTTGATTAACTACAACAACACAGTCTAGCTCAGTAACATAGCATGGAAAAACTGGAAAATGGTAACATTATCTACTAACTCTAAACAGTTTGCTACAGCCTCTTATTAGGCTGAATGAGAATTTGTACCAGCATTCTGTAAAGCATTCTGTAAAACGGTTTATGAGTTTCAATTTTTCACTTAAAAAGAATGAGACACACACCATATGTCAATATGATCCTTTTCCCATAGACATTAATTAGGATAATCGTGCATGAATAATAATAATAATAATGATAATAATAATAATAATAACGACAAAGGATGAACTGTCACACATATGCTTAAACATAACATCTAAAAAGCCAGTGCAAAAATTGTTAGCCACTCTATAGGATGCCACTCACACACATGCAAAATAAGACAAAGCCATGTAATTTTCATGTCCGTGCAGGCTGATAGAAGCAGGCTGTGGATGATGAGGAGCAGGGGTGAAACACTGGGATGAATTAGACATGAAGTGGGATGTGTGAGCACTGGCGTGTGAGTGTGTGTGTCTTTAATTGTCTCTGCTCTTAACCTGGCTGATCTGGGAGCAGCTCTCATGCTCCACAGTGAAAAATGCATGATAATGTGACTGGCCTTTTATTATTGCATTTGTGTTAAAGTAAAAGCTCCCAACAGCTTTCTCTCTCTCTCTCTCCTCTTCTATCCTTCTGTCTTTTCTCATTATATTTTGTTCTCTCTCTTCCTCTTCATCTGTTACCATCTTCTCTTTTTTTCTTTCTCTGTTGTCTTCTGTCCTTATCTAGAGTTTATATTCCTGTCCCTTCACTCTCCTCTTTTCTTTTTGTCTTTTCTCTGAATCATTTTTGGCAAATTTTTGCCTTTCTCTCTTTTCCTCTTTCACTCTATCCTTATCTTGTGTTTTATCTTGTCTTATCTTTCTTTCCTCTCTGTCCTTCTCTCTTGTGTTTTTTGTTTGGCATTTACTCTCTTCCTCTTTGTCCTTTGTTGTTCTTTCACTTTTTCCATCTTTGAATTCTTTCTCTCCCACTTTTGTCATCCTTTTCTCCTCTTTCTTTCTTCCTCTGTTGATTAGGATATACTACTACATACATGCATGTCCTAAATATTATCTCAGTGCTACAGGAGGCAAGATGGAGACACAACTCACACATGCACACGCACACACACACAAACACACACACACAGGCACACACTAATAAACAGGGTTCTGTAAGAGGCTGTACAGCTGTACAGTGATTGGGCGCACACAGCCATGTTGATGGCTGGGCTGATTATCTTTACCATTTTTTCTTTTTCTTTTTTTTTCTAACTGTGCAGTTAAAGAGATCCTACAGCTGGACAAGCGGCTAATCCTGCACTTTTACCTTCATGCCCCCCTTCTCTCTCACTTCTTTCTCTATCTCCCACCTCATGCTCTCTCTTTCTCTGTCTCTCTCGCTTTCTCTCTCCATTTCCCTATCTCTCCTCTTTTGCTCTCTCTCGCTCTCTCTCTCTTTCTCTAGTCCTCTTATAGCATCTCTACTTCGATCTGCTCCCTCCGTTCTTCTAATCTCTCTCTTTCACTATTACACTTTCTATTAAATCTCTCTCTCAGTCAATCTCCCCCCTCTGCCTCATACACTTTCTGTCTCTCTCGCCTTTTCTCTATCTATTTCTAACTCCATGGTCAGTCACATTGAAGATCAGTCTAGTTTTCTTTTTCTTAAAGGCCCCACACCATCGCTAAAGCAATAGTTTGGCAAAAGAACAAATTTAAACAATCCCAACAGTAGTCGATTGAAGGGGGCTAAGAACTGATCTGAATTGGTGGGCTATAAAGCTTCAATAATGTCTTGGATGATTGACTACATTTGGCATAAGAAGGGAGAAAACTTAGATAAGTTAGATAAATTAGATTTTTGACCAAACTATCACTTTAATATCTATTTTGGGTACACACTGACCCAACTATATACAGTATACTGCAGTGTTAAAAGTGGATATATCATCCTCTATTTTACAAGTGATAGATCAGCTCAGTCTTCAGCTAATAAGCAAATTATCAATAAGTGATGTGTATTGTACATGTTTTCTATCATGTATCTTTATGTATCAAAGATCAAAAAGATATTTTGTAACACAAACTGTATAAAAATGACATCATTCTTTACATATCAAATAATGGCAACAGCACTGAGACATCACATTATTAACAGTGAAGAACAGATTAATTCAGCCTTAAAGTGTTAATGGACCAAACCAGGATTTTGAATTCTTAAATGAAAAACAAAATAATACTGCCGCATTTAAAGAAAGAGATGATTGGCTATTTAGCTCAGAGTCATGTATAATTAAGCTACGTCATTTTTGTATAGGTGTAGCAGCAGCATTTAAAAACAGTGCACTCACCTGACTTACATTTTTTATCTCATAAAACTGCAACACAGATCAGCCAAAACAAAAATAATAAACATGCTGACTGCACGTTTGGAGCAAAAACCTCAGATCTCGGCTGATTTTGATCGTGAACCCTTAGCTTTAAGCTATGTGTCAAGAAACAGCAGTGTTTGTGTGTGTGTGTGTGTGAGACAGAGCGTGTACGAAGAAAAGAATATATGTGTATGTGAAAAGAAAGACATGAACACGTGAGTGCGTGCAGATGGTTGTGTGTCAAGAGGAAGCTGTGTGTGAGTGTGATCATACTGAAGTGTGTGTGTGCTGTAATAAGTGTGCGCGTGTGTGTGTGTGTATATATATATATATATATATATATATATATATATAAAATATATATGTACATACATATATATATTGTATATATGTATGTATGTATGTATATATTGTATATTTAATATCTGAGTGTGAAGTGTGTTTATGTGTGTGTGTGTGTGTTTAGCGCTGTTCCATCACTGACTGATTCTGTCCTTGTAAATTCATTTCATTTTAAACAGAGCCTTCATAACCATATACATCAGCTGATTTAGTGAGATAAGCATGCAGATGGGATGAAGAGATGCAAAGGGTTGCAAAGTACACATAGACACGCACACACACGCCCTTCTATGCATACACAAGCAGAAAGCTTTCAGTTTGAACAAAGACATCTGCAGTGCATGTAACATGTCATGAGTGACATTTAGTGAATTATTTAAGGGTAAAATGAACACTTAAAATTCAGACAGGGTGTGTATGTGTGGTATATTTCATGAGTAAAAATGTTCTGACTTTAATAATAATAATAATAATAATAATAATAATAATAATAATCTTTACTTATATAGCACTTTTCATGCCAGTGAAAACTGAATGCTAAGTTAAAGAGATACATTTTTAAACGTTTCTTGAAAGTGTGCACTGAGCTTGACTTTCTAATAAATAAAAGGTGGAAGTGAGTTCTACAGTTTAGAAGCATAATAACGAGGCCTCTCCATGTTTTCTGTATTTTACACAGACACTCTGTGATGTAAGCAGGTGCTAGGTTATTTAGAACCTTAAAAACTTGTAGCAGAAGTCTAAAAATCGATCCTTAAAGATACTAGTAGCCAGTGTAGTTCTTTGAAAGATGGGACTGATATGATCTCTCTTTTTTGTTTTTGTATGAGTTGTAGAGGATATATTGTTTTCTTAGGAAGTCCAGTAAGAAGAGCATTACAGTGATCAACTCCACTTGTAACAAATTTGAACAAGTTTCTCTGTGGTGCTCTGAGACAGAATTGCTGAACTTTAGTAATATTACTCAAATGGTAAAAAGCTACTTTAGCGATTGTGTTTACATGCAGGATAAAACAGAGCTCAGAATCTAAGAAATATCGGACACACAGCTGGTAAGCCTGTCTACAGAGTCTTGATTATTAGAAGGAATGCAAATGCAATGAAAATTTATATTATGTTTCTTAATTACATCACCTAGCAAAAGCAAAGGCCCTAAAACTGAACCTTGAGGGACTCCACAAGAAATGTTACATTTTTTTGATCAGTGATTTCCCAGTGAAACCATGAACTGTCTATTAACTAAATATGATTTAATCCATTCTAAAACCGTGCCTGAGAGGCCTACCCAGTATTCAAGGTGGTGGATTAGAATCTTGTGATCAACAGTATCAAAAGCTGCACTAAGGCCCAAAAAGAGCAGAATATAATGATTTTGTGCATCAGGGCTGAGCCTGAGGTCACTGTACTTAAACCAGACAAAAATGAGCCCAACATTTAACAAAGTAGTCCTGACTGTGTTAAGTATATATAGTACATATATATATATATATATATATATATATATATATATATATATATATATATATATATATGTGTGTGTGTGTGTGTGTGTGTGTGTGTGTGAGTATGTGTAGAACCTACATGCCATCCTGCCGGGTAATGGTGTATCCATGGTCCGGGTAATGAACAAAGGAAACATTTACTCCGATGAGGGGCGTTCCATCTGCAGTCAGCACTTGGCCTCTGATTACAGACACCAGACTGCAAAAGAAACACACCAACAGAGTCAATAAGATTTAGTGCATGAGTAAACACTGATTCTAAGTCTTCTCAGCCATGTTAAATGTCGTCATTTTCTGATCCACAGTCAATAACACACACACACACACACACACACACACACACACAGACACACTTCCACACAAGTCTAGAGTAAAATGCACACACTAAACTCGCATAGCATAGTGCGTGTGTGTGTTTGTCCATTTACTCAGCAGTTGTACCAATACACACACACACACACACACAAACATACACACACCATTGGTAATTAATGGTGGAACAGCCAGCAGAGTGTTGAAAAAAGAGAAACATCAGCTAAACAAACAGAAAAGAACCAAGAAAAAGAGAGGTGGAGGAGAGAGAGAGAGAGAAAGAGAGAGAGAGAGAGAGAGAGAAAGAGAGAAAAAGAGAGAGATTTATATGGGTTGTTAATCAATGGTCAGTCAGACAGCAGTGGTCACTCTGCGTGTTTATTGGTTGATTTTCTGGATCATTTCTGCTTCTGTGGACACTAATAAGCCGAACAGCACTGACCACACACACAGGACACACACACACTCTCCTGCTCCTTTTCTCTCTCTCTTCCTTCATCCTCTTTCCCTCTCACTCGTCTCATTTTCTCATGCTCTCTGTTTATTCGTCCTCTCTTGTCCTCTCTCTCTCTCTCTCTCTCTCTCTCTCTCTCTCTCTCTCATATTTAGGGAGTAACAGTACATGTATTTGTCCCGCCACGGTGCAGATGTCATGGTTCGGTGCACGCAGTCGTATAGAGAACAAATAGCTTGTGCAAAGATTGAAGAACGTAATGCAGAAATAAATTTAACAAGCACAAGTTCCACAAAAAAGCCTTTTCTTTTTTTCTTTTTCTGACTCTAGATCCCTTCATCCTCTCCCTCTCTCCCCTGCTCTTTCTCTTTTCTTTGTCTCACTCTCTGTGTTTATATTCTTTTTCTCTCCTATTCCTTTTCTTTTCTCTATCTTACTTGTCTTTTTCTCTCACTCCCTATCCCTTCCCTTCATCCTCTCCATTTTCTCTCTCTTTGCTTCATCCTCTCACTTTCTCTCCTCTTCTTCCTTTCTCACTGTCTTACTCTTCTCTTTTCTCAAACTCTGTCTCTTCATTCTTTCTCTTTCCCCTTCTTTCTTTTTTCTCTCTCTATCCCTTCATCCCCTCTCTCTCTCTATGTCTCCTCTTCTTGCTCTCCCCCCTGTGTCATGTGTGCAGGTAAACACTCTATAAATATCAGGAAGTCCTCAGCGTAGCTATAACTCACAACCACTTACAGCCATAAAGCAGCAGCAGCCAGACATCACAGCACTGAGAGGTCTAAATGCAGGTTGTAATTCACACACACACACACACACACCACACACACACACACACACACACTCACACACACCTCTTCCTCTCTCTCTCTCTCATACACATCCATCTCCACTTTTTCAGTTTTTCTATGACCACAATTCCTTATTATCTTATTACAAACAGCTTGCATGTCGTTCTTTCTTTCTCACTCTCTTCTTTTTCCCTTTCTCTGCTTTTTTACTTTCTTTCTTTCTGTCTTTCTTTCTTTCTTTCTTTCTTTCAGTTTTTCTATGACCACAATTGATTACTGTGCTATTACAAAAAATTTTACTGGACATTAATGCACTGCATGAGTCTCTACCTCTGTCCTTTATTTCTGTCTCTCTTCCCTTTCTCTTCTTTTCACTCTTTCTTTTCACTTTTTTTCTTTCTTTCTTTTCTTTTTTCCTTCCTTTCTTCACATTCCTTTTATCTCTTCTTTCTGTAAATGACTCCAGAGCACAGAGATTATGGCTGCCTTCACTCATACAGGGTTTCCCACTCTCCTGTACAGGGGTCACACAGATGTACCCTGTTTCATTCATTTTAGGCAGCCAACACCCAGAAGCCTAATCTACTCTGACCATCTCTGGAGTGTGGGAGATAATAAGGAATCTATAGAGAGCAAGAGCATCTGCCAGCATGTCAAAAAAATTGTCAGGTCAGCGTTTTTTCATGTCAGTTAAATGGTCTATTCCTGTCAAAGTCTGTGGTTCTTGGCCACAGCAGTAGCCAGTCAAAACTTTGCTCCTAACTTTCTGTATTACACCTGTAATTAGAGGTGATAAAAGTTCTAACTGTCTGGTGCAGTCCAAATAAGTTCTTCACTGCCCCAGATTGCTAGCTATCATGCGCTCCACTGCATTTATTTCTGAGGGGTAAATGACAGCATGTTGGATGGCTAGCGAGTTGTCCACAAACTGAATTAGGTGATGAGACCGATACAGAGTTTAGCACATGCTCTGATAAGAGGTTTTTGAGCACTTTAAACCCTTGATCAAGTTAATGAGTGACTTCCTCAAGTTTGCTTCTTTAGTGCTGGCCTAGGGCTATGCTAATGCAGCTAACATTAACAGTTACAGTTAATGTTACATTATAGTAGATGACAGTAGATGACAGTATGTCATACAGCATCAGAAACTACATAATGTAAGTCTATTTGAGATTACTTAACTACTTGGGTGAGTAATGATTTAGTCATGTAGTTTGCACCATGCTAATTGGTGGGGTATAAGCTTCCATTGCTTGTTAGCTGCATTAGCAGTGTAGCTCCAGTATAAAATTAAACAAGCAAACTTCAAACACACCAAACATGTCTTGGCTGGTCGACTATATTTGGAATACTTTGACTACAAGGGTGGGGGGACTGTGCAAGTGTGATTTTAGGCTGAAAGTGGACATAAGTAAGAGTAAAAGGACTATCAAGAAAGGTGCTGTTTCAAACTGTGTCCTAAAAGCCATACAAACCCATAAAAGGAGAATGGTTCACCTGCATGTTGTTTTTATTTATTTACTGTTAAAACTGAGTCAGCAAATCTGCAACAGACACGGCTGCAAAATGCCATAGCCCGCTGCTGACAGAAGGTAGACTGGAAAGTAGTTTGAACACTGGGGAGAAAAACAAACAACAAACAAACAAAAAAAGAGAAAAAAAAAACAGAGTTCTATTTACTTATGCTTCTATGCTGAAACCATAATATTTGGTGAGGGATTATTCCAGATCTTTCAGTAGATTTTGGAACAGAGAGAGAGAGAGAGAGAGAGAGAGAGAGAGAACGGGAGAGAAAGAGATAAGTAAGTAAATGGACCAACAGAATTCGTCTAAAATCACATAACCTACTATGTTGTGCTAACTTACATGTTAGTGATAGGACTGTCTGACTGTCTGTTAACTTTGTTAACTGTGTTGCGACTCTTCTCCTCTCGGGCTGAATCATCTCTTATTCAGCACAGCTGTGCCCTGCGTGTTTCCTGCGTTTGTGTTTTAATCACATTAGCCTACACGTAGCCTTATTGGATTAGCTGGCCTTATCTGGCCACTGCGGTATTAGAGGCTTAATTTGCCCACATCTGGGCCAGTGGCATTGAGCCTATTAAAATGTTTGCTGTAGCTTAATCATGATATCTGTCACGGCCGCCGTTTTGCTGCCAAGTGGTTCTTCAGATTAACTGAAGTGAGTCCAGCACGGATTGAATTTGACGAGAACATGTGGGTTATGTCATACACAGGAAGCCAAAAGCAAAATAAACAAATGAATTTGTCATTGTACAAATTTACACATACATGAACATGTACACATGCATTTCCAAAAGTGTGACTGAACACGTGGGCTAATTAATGCACAATAATACTACTACCAGGACTACTACTGTTTCTACGATCAACAGTAACAGCAGTGCACTAATAACAAATACAGTGTATGAAGCTAATGCTTAATGTTGTAAACTTAGCTGAGACCAATTTTCTAATGATTTTGACTTTAATGCAGCTCAGACTTGCCCCATAACCAAAGCTATTATAGCCATCATTGACAGAAATATATACAATAAAAAATCGGTGGGCAAACCCTAAAGTTCAGTGGGAGAAAAAAAGCGTAATCGTGGAATGATGGACGACTACATTTTCACATGAAATAGTCACAAACACACCGAAACTGCTTTAGTGTAACGTATCATTAAACCTGTGATTTCTAGCTATATGGCTAAAGCTGTGGCATGTCTGGGGGGTCTGGGGTGGCACCAGCTCCCACAAAAACAGCTTTTACCGATATCAGAAGTGGTGCGGTGCTGCCTGCAAAGTGAAATATTTCTGTGATGCTGTGTTTTCACCAATGACAAATGCTGCAGCAGTATTTTATGCATGCTTCTAGTGTCATGATGTTTGCAACAGATGGAAAAATGTAGAGGGGTTTTAACAATGTTTCTCTAAGGGAGTTTGTACAACGTGTGTCATAAACCCATAACATAAGTGAAAAGCTATAGCGTCTTCAGCTCTTTTATCTCCAAAATAGTAACTTCACAGAAGAAAGGAAAAAAAAAACATCTTAACTGCATGTATCGTTAATGAAACAAGATTTTTTTGAAGTAATTTTGGAACCTGTCTACTGTGCAATTAATCACAAAATTTTTAAAATGATAGCTGGCAATTTAAAATTTGGTAAAAATAAATACATTTAAAAAGGACAAAACTGATAAGGTTCTGTTCTGACAGCAATAATTTGCTAATTCTTATTCATACACTCAGGACATGCTTTGCGTCTCGGTTCATGGCTTTATTGATTACATTTTTTTGACGGCTTGCAATGGCAACCCTTATAACTTAAATTAATTAATTAAAAAATTATAACCTAATTTGTACGCAAACTGTTTGCTAACTGAAATGCATTTAACCAGAGCTTAGTGTTTGTTCCAAGTTCATTCCCACCAGCTCTCTGGAGCTCCTGGATTACACTCTGCACATGAGATGTTTCTGTCAATACCATGGAGTTGTAATTGTGTGTTTTGGCAGCATGAGCAAGCAGTCAGACTGATGAATCTAGTATTACATAGTATTGCATAGTCTTTTTACATTTGGTGAGCGGAACTGGGAGGTAGTGGAGGAGCATGTAAGGGCTGACAGGAAGAAAATTTAAACAGAATAGAGCTGTCTGCAGCCACAACCTAGGTTTTGTAAGTAATACCAATAAGCAAGTGAGAAAACACAAAATAAGTTACTAAACTCTAAAGAAAGGTGAATAATTGATTAAAAAAGATAAACACCTTTCAAATAAGCTAAAATTGTTTACATGCGTTTACATGCATTTACCCTCCACCACATCCCTGATCATCTATTATAAGCTATCTGCTATCTGCTACTTCTCAGCTTGTCATAATACCTTAAAACAGTACATCATAACCACGCCTGGGATTCATTATATTCTATATTGAAAATTAATTGACAAGTGTCCACAAGCCAACATCCCAGTTTAAGCTGGTTTGGGTGAAGCTTCCCTTAAAACCTGTGGATCTGGGCACAAGGGAGAGTTGCTATGGTTACATTTCCTCTATGTAAAATCATTATTAAGATTTTTTTTCTCTTTTTTTCCATTCTCCCCATGAAAACAGCATATTTGTTAGAGATTAGCAGTTAATAGAAATAGAAGCGCTGCCGCAAGAAATGCCTCTGGCCTGCCACTGGGTCGGACAGCGCGTGGCCTCTTACATTCCCACACTATTATCTCAACGGAGGTCATGAGTTTGTTCCTACAAGGCTGTGTGGACATCTGCTGCCGTGGTAACCATACAAATCTCTGAGAAGGTGCCATCCGAAATAACTCTACGGTGTCACTGATCATTAAGTCCGTAAATACCTGTATTTGACCAGTAAAAACTCTGCAAGACTGTTTTAAATTAAAGTCCCACTGGACACAATGTCCAGTGTGGTGACATCTTGCTGTTCTGTACAATGGGAAGAGATGCCATTTTGTCTAAAACCTGATGCTGAGGTCTGAGAATGCCCTAAATGCGTACCATACTACCACCATTTAAACTCTCCGCTGTTCAGTCAGTTCCTATTTGGTTCATTTAAGCTTCATGACCTCATCATTTATCACTCAAGTTCCGCAATGACTTTCTTTCTCAAAAATGCACATGTTTTGTCAGGAATGTAGGAATATTCTGAAATAAATAATGTTGCTTCCAGTTTGTTAAACCAACAGCTAAACTATTAAAAGTCACAAATTAGTGTGTTATTATTCTGTTATTATTCCCTCTGTCAAAACAGTTTCTAGCTTTATATTTGTTCAAGGCTTATAGCTTTATTTGATTATTTACAAATGGACATGCTGTTAATGAGACATGCTGATTATCAATTGCAATAAAGCACAGTGATGTGGACTAATAAACACTTTCTTGCCATTCAAGCCACAGCGACCATTTTCAAACTGGCTTCAAGAGGACTGGAGAAGAAAGAGAAGTCTCAACATCTTGAGAAAATTTAGATTAAATTAAAATTTAAAAATGTGGAGTGTGATAGGTCATTGAGGACACACACATACACACTCACCTTTTGTTGAAGGGGTTTTCACCGCTAATGATATGTGTGCTTTCTGGTCCCACAAGGAAGCTAATTCGCTGGTAGAAGGACTGAGCGGCTTGCTGTGAGGAAGCTGACTGGCCCTGACTGATGATGTCAGCTGGGTCAGGTGATCCACGGCAAAACAGCTGTGTCTGACAGGAGCTCTGCAGACAGCAATCTGGATCCATACAGTCGACCAGACCATCTACACAGACGCACACACACACACACACCAAAACATATATGAACAGATTGTACTGACATATATATTTTACTATCAAACAGCCCACGTCCCATATTGTTCCAAGGTCTGTGGTCAAGTTATGGCATTTGTATGGGTTCATGTCCTCAAAACAGTGTTTGATTTTTACATGACCATTTTCTAACCTCTCTCTATCCCTTAGGCTGTACCCAATTTTCTTCCCCAATTTAGCCGTATCCAATTCCACCCGCTAGTTAGGACTCCCCCAATCACACGATACTATCAACGCTAGGAGGGTGAAGGCTAGCACAGGCTTCCTCCGAGACCTGTGAAGCAGCCACTGCATCTTTTCGAAATGCCGCTCACACAATGTCATTGGACAGCTGAACGCGCTCAGAGGAAAGCACCAACCGCCAGATCTGTTACGTCAGCTAACAGACGCCTGCGCTGACTAGCATCGTGTTGAGTGATGGGGAGAAGGGGGGCCATCCAAGTGACCCAGAAAGCGAGGCCAATTGTGCTCTCTTGGACTCCCGGTTACGGATGGCTGTAGCATCACCAGGGATAGAACTCGCAATCTCCTTATGATAGGGCCAACGCTTGCGCCACTCGGGAGCCCTCTTAGGCTGTTTTTGCTTCTGTGCCTTTAAGACTGATAGAAGTAAATGAGCTCTGTTCCGATTGGCTTCCCTGTTTAGTGATCGATTCAAAAAGCAGTCCAGGCTGATACACTCCTTCTAACTTCAGTGGGAATGAGCAGGGCTAAACTGCTGTAGACATACAAATAAATATATGCAAATGTGTTGGTTTTCATGGCATCACAAAAACAATGAATTCAAAACAAACTGTTTTTGCAGCTTAGTTTTTACAGTCATTATATGGACTGTTTCATTATATATGGTTCCAGGTTAGTGAATGGAACATCTACCATGAAAGTTGTAAATGCAAAAAAAATGATTCCTTGCAACATGAACATTATAAAGAGGTAAGTTTGGATTGGTAGTAGAAATCTGAGGATTAGAAAATCTGACAATAGATCTGTGTTTTCTAAAATTATGAACTTATTGTTGCATTCATGTACAGTTCCTTTGGACAGATAATGAATTCATACAGTTGTACGCAAAAGTTTGAACATCCCTAGTCTAATAATGAGCTTTCCACAGGAAACAAACATAAATATCATATTTTTCTGCATTTTGCTAAGTTTAACATATTGGAGAGAAAAAGCTAGAACATAAAATGTGCTGTAACTTTTCCACAGGCCATATTTTATATTTTAGATATTTCTCCCAATATGTTAAATTCAGCAAATAAACTGTAACTGTGCAGTAAAATGTACAGCAGTGTGTTTTGTGGAGAGGACGTGAACTTATTTTCACTTTAAACATATACAAAACATGTCATTTGATCAGGGGGCAAAATTCACCCAAACCTTTGCACACCACACTACTTTTGATGATGCTCAAATTGCTTTCTGCCTCTGTACAACACGCACGCACACACACACACACACACACCAGAGCTTTACAGTGTAACAATATTGTCGCACATGCTAGGAAAAATAAATCCTGCTCAAACACAAAAAACGATCATAGCTGCACATGTGCAAATCCCCTTTGAATCTCCATTCGGATATTTTATCAAGTCCAATCGCTCATGGAAGTTGTAGTCATTATTCTAACTGTGTCAGGTGTATAATATCAAACATTTCCCCACTGTCATCTCCTCAAGCACGGTCATGCAAGCTGAAACACAGTTTAGGTTCAGGTGTTTATGGCAGTTGTAGCCTTTAGGAAAACTAGAGAACAAATCCAGATGTTTGTAAACAAAAGGCCTTGCAAAGTACAAAACTGCCTAAAGTTGTTTAGTTTGAGGCGGCAACATCGTGTGTAAAGCCAGCAATAATTTAAGGTTTTACAGTTTGCCTGATGAAAAAATTGTTCCCCCAAAAGTGTCTTTGGATTTGGAAGCTGAGGAAAAAGTCACCATAAATAACATTGAGCCTTATCTTTAGGTAAGAAACTTTTTTGTGTCCATATATGCATTACTGATTGTGGGTCTCCTCATGCTGAGTGCTATTAGCCTCTTGTGGGGAATCTGAATGATTGTGAAGAAAAAGAAATCAGAAAATTACATTAAAAAAACATTAAAATACACATCTTATACACGCTGCTCATTTTTCACAGTTAAAGTGACATTTTTTTCCATTTATTGGGATTAAATCCTACATACTGTTTTAGTTGGTTTAATATTTGCAGAAGGAGTCCCAACGACTGAGTGTGTGTGCATGTGTGTGTGTATGTGAGAGCAAATGGAAAGCATTTGCGTCCCTTTTGGGTCCACCACTGCTTTCACTCTGGGAAATATTCCTTCAAAAGTAGCGCCCTATGTAGGGAACAGCATGTTTCATTTGAGATGTGTCCCCAAGGGAAAAAAGAAAGCAAATACAAGGACTAAGTAGGCCAGTCTAAGGCACTGTACTATTCCACACACACACTACGGCTGCACAATATGGATTGTTATTAAAACAATATGGACGTATTGGGCCCATTTGCATATTGCAGCCTTCTGTGATAATAAGTATTGCAAAGGCCAATATTACAATAACGATTAACAAATGATACACCGTTTCACACAGAAACACACAAGCTGAGTAAACAGCTGGTTAATGCTTTATCTCCCCATCAGGTACAAACATAAACCCCGACCATCCGTCACACTTACTTTATAAAAAGCCCTGTGCACACAGTGCACTGCCATCAGAGTTTTAAAATAATATATGCACGCACACACATACACACACACACACACACACACACACACACACCGTGTGCTGTGATCATCTTGACCAATCACAGTCTTAGATGAGTTTCTGTGAGTTTTGATGAATCAATAATCAATAATCCAGCAACAGTCAATTATTAGATTATCAGAATGATTTCTGTCAATATCAGTTATATTAGCAACTTAACAACAACAAACCATGCAGAACATATACATACTTGCACCATATTCCACACAAACACACACACACACACACTCACACACACACATACACTATCTAAGCCGCTTATCCTTCTGGGTCACGGGGGTGCGGGAAAGAAAAGGGCAGGAAACATCCTGCAGGTCGCCAGTCCCTTGCAGGGCAGGCACCCAGACATACAATCACACTCACATTATGTTCCACACAGTCATATGAAGACCTTTGGGTGCCCTGGTCAAATGACATGTTTTGTTGATTTTCTAAGTATAAAAGTTATACATCCTGTAAAAATCTGGCAAGAACTTAAAATTAATTTTGGACTGTTGATGATTTTATTATTTATTATTATTATTGTAGTTTTCCTTCTCATTTTCATGATTTAATGATGACTATTATTATTGCTACACTGTAATTAAACTGTCACTATCATTGGAAATACTAGGTTTTATTAGGCACTTTGGGTGATGATGGGCCGATTCAGGTCAGTTTATCACAGAATGTTATTGGACTTAGGAGAGATTCAGATTCAAAACTTGGTGCTGTGGGTCGAGCTTAGTCTGAAAGTATTTGGGCTAAATTTGAGTTTGGATTAAAATTTCAGGCCTGATTAAACTGCAATTGCGTGCGCACACACACACACACACACACACATACACACACCAAATGGCTGTCCAAAAGCACCAACTGCTTCATTTGTGATCTGACCCTTTTATAAATCTGTTTTAACCCAGCCCACCATGGTCAAAGTAAACACACACACACGAAAACATTCCCTGCATGTGTTCACATGGCCGTGTCCAGGTCAACATACATAACAGGATACGCTGCGGATGCATGTGTGCTTAAGGCGCTATGTTTATTATTGCAGCTCAGACTGACAAGTCCTGAAGTGGAGATCTTTTGAACGTACCATTTTACACTACTTTAACCGTGACTGTATTCAAAGAAATATAAACAGCAATAAGCAGTACGCAGCAACAAAAACACATTAGACTGCCATTTGTTACTGGCCAGCGTTCCACTGTATATTTTCACGCAGGCAATAAAAAAATGCCAAATCCTTAATTAACCCTTTGAGGTCCTCCAAAATACTTACATTATATACACATTCTTACTATTTCTAACTTGTAGTTCAGTGAAACAAGTAGATCAATTGTGTGAAACCTACATTTTTATTCCATACTACGTTTGTGTTTAAGTAGAGGAGGAGCTATTTTATTATTATATGAATTTGATGAAAAGTTACTGTGGTGTGTACAGTCTGTTTTTGAAAAAAAAACACTGGGCCTCACCAAATCTTCCTAAATTTTTTGTTTGATTTGTTCTTGAGAAAGGTCCTTAAACAAAGTCCATGTCAGATTCATGATGTTCTTAAACGGCAAAACTGTTTACACTTTTGTGTAAATAAGAAAATATTGGTGAACGTCAGAATGACAAGTGGGTTTTAAGATTTCTTGTTAAAAGAATTATTGGTTAAATAATTAGAAATGTAATTGAATTATTTAATAACATTTGAATAAATGTGTTTATAAGTTGAATGTGTAGCAAAATTACAATAATAACTCTAGACCTGCAAGGGTTAGAAATGTGTCAATGTTAAAGAGCAGTTTTTTTTACGTAAAGCTTTCAGGCATTACAAATATTAAAACTTTTACACAGAAATTTGTGTAAAACATCCAAACATCCAAAAATGTTTAAAACCAAACACCTGTCCTGACACCAAAAAATCAAACAAACAAACAAAAGAAAAGAAACCTTAAGTGTCCGTTTTTGGGACAAGCACAAGACACTGTTATACTGATAGTCTGGCAAAAAATCAAATTTACTTACTGTCCTCCCTTACCCCAAATGTAGTTAATCAGACATGTCTGGTGTCTGAAATTTCCTTCTTTACTTTTACTCTTGAGGATAATGTAACTGCTACTGTTTTTAGCCATGTGACATCCTTTTGTCCACGTAAGAAACCACATATATAAGTCTATTTGGGATTACTTAACACCTTAACATGGTTTGAGGTAAGTGAGTGATGATTTAGTCATATACTACGATACTGACTGTTATGCTATAAGTTTCTCAATAGTCTTGTAGCTCCAGTGTAAAACTACAGTAGCAAACTTCAAATACCAAACATGACATGGATGATTGAGGATAAGGAGAGAAACTATGTGAATTTGATATTTGGACTGATTGGTAGCCAGTATTAACCCTAAACACAATTGTTATTTATTTTTTCAAATAAATGCAGGCAGAGGAGAGATGTTCGCTTTTTTCTTTTTTTTCGAGGCAGTTTCTCTTTAGGTTAAATGAGACTTTCCCCTTTTTCTAAAAGCTTGTTGGTATGAAAGAGTACATTTGTGGGTGGACCATAGAAACATATATACACCCTCTCACACTCAGAGCTGGACCCTCACCTCCTTCGTTGTCCTTGCCGTCTGCACAGAGGGTTTCCATGGCGACATCGCAGCCAGCCCCCCTCCAGCCAGGCTGGCAGACACAGTGCCATCCGTTCTGATCCAGAGTACAGCGACCGTTACTGTTACACAGCCCAGGACAGCCCTCTGCACACACACAAACACTCCGTCAGTCAGAGACAGAGAGAGAGAGAAAGAGAGAAAGAGAGAGTGGGTGTGGTGGTGTGTGTGTGACAGAGTGAAGGAGAGAAAGACAGGAGTGTGTGAGTGTGTAAGCATGTGTGGTTTGAGTGTGTGTGTGTGTGTGCGTGTGTGTGAGAAAGAGAAGTGAATGATAGTAAAAGAGTTTGGATGCATGTGTATACTGGGAGTCTACAAAATAATGGAAACATCACATTAAATGCTGGCCATTTCATTCTGGCCACTTTATCAGAAACACCTACCATACAGGTGCATTTTTCTGGCTTACAGTTACAGACTGTAGTCCATCTGTTGCTGCACAATTTATCAGTCCCCCTCTACTCTGTCCATCAATGGAAAAGGACCACCACAGGACCACCACTGACCAGATATTATTTGAGTGGTGGATTATTCTTAGCACAGCAGTGACACTGGCATGGTAGCGGCATGCTTTTGTGTGTTGCACTGGTATGATCGTCATACCATCCATTAGCTTCTGACCACAGAGCCGATCTTGGCTAAATATTTTTTGCAATAGACCATTCTCAATCAAACTACACTGACTGTGTAAATAACTGTCTAAGCACTGGCCCTGTCATTGGGTCGTCAGCAATGCCATAGTAATCCATGACAGAAAGTACAAAAGTATATCTCTCTCTATCACTCAGCACAATGCTAGCCAACATAGTTAGTTAGCATTCTCCTCCAAGTGCATTGAGCTGCCCAATGACGTTGCATTAGCATCATTTTGAAAAGATGCAATGACTCTCTACATGTCTTGCAGGAAACGTCTGCTGGCCTTCAGCACTCCCAGCTTGGCAGCATCATGTAATAAGATGATACTTGGCTAGCAGGTGCTAGCATTAACTAAACTGGATATGAAATAGGGTAACAAAATAAAAAAAGGGAAAAAAAAAGAAATATCAAAGAAATATCAGATATTTAAGTGAAAGGAGAAAAAGAATGCACATATTTTAAAATCATCATATATCATGAGGGAGGCTTTTTCTACAGTAAAGACAGTCTTTGCTGTATACAGGATGTTTATACAGCTCTTGTAAACATCTTGGTTCAGTCCAGTTTCTTAGACTAACTAAGCACTTAGCTGGGCCTTTGTGTGCATGGAAACATAGTTGATTTGACCTTTCAGATGTATACAAAACAAATATGACACACTTCACCCTCTGAGCTTGACCCTCACCTCCTTTTTGTCCTTGCCTGAGAAGGGAACTGTTTACAAACTGAATATCCCCTAAGAACAAAAAGTGTGCCTAAAACACTCCAGCACCACACACCCTACCATATCACTGTCACTGCTGTGCTGACAAGATAAGCAACAAGATGGCTTATAATCTGTAACTGTAAACCTACAAGGTATAAGTGCATTCTAGGTCAAGATTTTGTGATTTTGTCCATCCCCTGTTCGTGCACAGATGTGTCCTCTGGAGGGTGTGTGTGCACAAGTGAGTTCATGTGCACAGGTGATTGAGTGTGTGTGCAGTCTTCAGAAGAGGCTGCAGTAGAACAAAGTGCTTGTGACCTGTGTGTGTGTATATGTGTAAAACAGAGAGACAGACAGACCTCTGGACAGATAAAAAAGTGGCAGATGAGAGAGGTCAGAGGTCAAACGTGAACACAGAGTGACACTAGACTCGGCACAGGCCGGGTGAGATGCACAACGGCTGTAAATTCACATGAATGTAAACAAAAAAAAAAACTTCGTCACCATCATCGTCATCACCATCATCATCATCCTCACCATCAACACAACCTCTCAGTGAAACCCAAACAGTTTTTGTTGCTCAAATTAAAAGGATGAAAGGAAACAGCAAAAGTTCAATCAGAATTTAAATCAAAATAATTGATCTTTCCAGGCGTCTCCCACAAATTTGTTCTTTCACAGCTACTGTTGTGAGATTGAAAGCTTTGCAGAATGCTGATAAAAATCCTATACACTGATGTTAAGTTTAAAAGTTACCTGACAGCAATTTATATATTTATATTATTAAAACATTAAATCACATAGATTTGGCTCTGGTAGTTTCTGGTACTGCAGCATGGTACCAGTCTGCTGCCCAGTGGTTGGGAACCTCTGGCCTGCTAGCTACTGTAGCTGGGCTGTTACTCTAAAGGATCTGCAGATAATATTTTCCTGTTTGTTCTCACCGTATCTTGCTGTTTGTCATTAGGTCGATTGTTTTTTTTCTTTTTTCTTAACGAACATTCTGTAAAGCTTGCCCAGCCTAACAACAGCAGCTGTGAAAGAACACATTTGTGGGTGCAGCATGGCACAGCTCTTGATAAAATAAACTATATGAGCAAACGTATTAAAGAATTCATTCAATTTTGCACAATAAAATGTAAAACAAATAGAAAAAGAGCAAACAAGAATAAGGTCATGGAGTGAGGAGAAAGAGAGAGAGAGGCCTGTGAGTTTTTAGAGCAGCATCCATGTGAAGCTACAGCACACAGAGAGAAAAAGAGAGAGAGAGAATCCCGGCATAAAGTATAGAGAGGACTGGCTGGGTTTGGGGTGTGTGTGGCGCCTCCAGTGCTATACTTTCTGCCCAGGGCACATTCTGCTGCACAGTGGGGGTAAGGGAGGAGGGGGTAGCAGGGGGCCAAGGGGGGGAAATAGGGGGGCAAAAAGGGGCAAAAGCAGCAGCAGCCGCAGCAAGGACAGCTGGACCAACAGACATCAGGATTCAGGCTACAGGATGCATGAAGACACGACCCACAGGATTCCCCAAAACAAAACGCTTGGACACACGTGTGTGTGTGTTTGTGTGTGTGTGGGTGTGTGCGTGTCCGTGGTGTATACGTGAACTTAAAACTATTTTATGAATTTGTACATTTATGGCAGGGTTGCTAACTGTAGATGCTAGGTTACTAACTTTAGCTACAGCAGCCAGCTTAAGACTGGGACAAGCTAAGATGTTATGTTTAAAAAGTGAACTATTTTATGAATTTTACATATATTTATGCGAAGGCAGCAAACTACGGATGGTAAGTTTATATCTTTAGCATTACATTGTAGCTTAAAACTGTGAGAAGCTAACATTAATGTTAGCCCTGCTAGAAAAAACAGCATGTGTTGTGTTTTGGACGCCGGTATGCTGAACAATGTTCTTGCATTATGTTGTATAGATGTTAAGTTGCTAACTTTAGCATTAATGCAAGCATTTCACAGTTCATCTGGTAATGTACAACTAATGCTAATGCATAGCTAGAAAACTGTAATAAGCTAACTATACCACCCCTTGCTGATTTAGTGATTTATGCAAACGTTCTAAAAACTCGAGGTAGACAAAAACTGGATTTCATAATAAAATAATAATAATGAAGTAAAGTAATAATGTAATAATGTAGTAAGTCCTCTATGGAAACTGTAATAATGTGTGTGTGTGTGTGTGTGTGTGTGTGTGTGTGTGTGTGTGTGTGTGTGTTTGAGTGTTGTGTTGACTGGCCAGGACAAACAAAGATGAAGGGTGACCAGATAAGAAGGACCACAACCAAGAAACAGTGAGGAGACTGCAACAGAGACACGCTGACGTCGTGCTTCATATACAGAAAAAAGTGAGGAAGGGGAAAAAGAGAGTGAGAGAGAGAGAGAGAAAGAGAGAAAGAGATAAAGAGAGAACGAAAGAGAGGGAGAGGAAGTAGAGTGATTGCTTATAAAACAATCTCCCTGGGTCTGTGGTTTACCTTTAAATCCTATCCTCTCTCCTATCATGGGGGCCGGGAGGAAGGACAATTCGGGAAAGAAAAAAGTAGCGGAAACAAACAAACAAACAAAAAAACAAAACAAAAACAAAAAGTTCTGAGCACTTGAGTCCAGCATACAGGACATTAGAGAGTGACACACAGGCAGGGTAGGAGAGGAGAGAGGGAGAGACAGAAAGGAGCAGAAGGAGGGGAGGCTGAAGACAAACGACAGAAACACTGAGAGAAGACAAGACGCTTGGGCTTTTAAGACTCTGAAGAACGGCCACAGAAAGATTCTGACGTTTTCAAGTATATATACATATAATAAAAAAACTGTCACAATTTTCAACCAACATATCGAAGCAAGCAAAGTTTCAGGCGTACCGCACATATTTTAAATGAAACAGTGTTTAAGAAATATGATATGATATAGCATAAAAAGAGAAACAAAATTTGCCAACAAAAGAAGAAAAATGTTCAAATACTGGAATTTTAAAAATTCTCAAACTGCTGATGTTAGTGTATGCCACTGTGTGAGAGGAATGTGGTGCTTTGCTGCTCCTTTAGTATTTAATGTGTAATATCTGTTCAGTAACACTGTACAGAATCACAATGCACACTGAAAGCCCTCATATTCTATATACAACACCAGCCAAATATTTGGACTGGCCTGATTGAATGAATGTTTTTCATAGTCTTAAAGGAACTTTAGTTTAAAATGTGAAACATTTAAAAAATCTACACAAAAAACTTTTTATGTGTAGATGTGTCCAAACCTTTGACTGATACTATAAAGCTGTATGTAAAACTCAATGGGAATTGGAGCACTGGTGTGTTCTACAGATCATGTGTTTTGTTTCAGCAAAAAAAATCAGCAAAAAAATGTGTTTTGTTTTCAAAACCAAATGCTCAAGCCTCTCTCAAGCAGCTCGCTGTGTGTGTGGTGTTGTAGGGGGCGGCACACTGCTCAGCAAATTGGGGACATTTGCCAAGGAGAAATGCTGAGGGCATGGCATTGGATTTCTGACAGTCCGAAAAGAGAAGGGAATGAAGAATCACAGTAATTCTAGAACAGATATACGCAAGGGAGAGAGAGAGAGAAGAGGTTATTAATGTGCAATCAAAATGTCATAAAAGAGCTGAACTGGGACATGAATGCACAGAAAAGGGGGCCGAAGCAAGGAAGAGAAGACACAGTACCTTGGACATACGTCTCCGGATGAGCTTCAGAGAAAAAGGAGGAAAAAGAAGAGAGAAAAAGAGAGAGAAAAAAGAGAGCAGTGGTTTAAAAAGAACGCAAAGATGTTAAGCTTATACACAACCAGGACTAATAGTGTTCATACATCACATAGATGCACAAAAACACAAACAGACATAGACTCATAACACATGGCGTAAATGGAGCAAAGCCGATAGCCCTGCTGGGAAGCTACTAGCGTGTCCCATTTTGAAATGTTACAAATTCAGTATGTAGGGAAATAACTTCTAACATGGTCATCAATCTAACAAACTCACAATGTCCAACATAAAAAAAAAACAAAAGAAAAGTTAAAAAAAACATGGAGGCTAACACTTCACTTAGCGTTCTTGCTTGTTACTCATCCTCATACATGCAATGCATTTATCTTGTTTTCAGTAACACAGGAAATGCACAGTAGCTGCATTATGACACACTGGAAGTCGAAACGAATGGCTTTTCAGTGACTGGTGGATTAGGATACGTGTGGCTTGCCATACTGAACATCGCAGATTAAATGTAAGCTCTCCAGAACCTTCCATTCTGCCATTAAAAACAAAAGTGAAGTTGTTGCAGATGCCAGCAGAACAAACATGAAAGGAAGAGCAGGGATTAAAATAGAAAAGTGGACCCACCAAGATAAACTAGCCTGGTTTAGCATGAAGAGTCTAAAAAATCTTCCAAAACACTTTGCTGTTTTAAGATTACCATGCCAATAGAAAATTAACAAAACATAAACATCTATTATTTTACATAATGCTTATGATCCCTACAGTATTAAAACAAAACAGGAATGCAGTTCTTTTCCAGGATACTTCACAATATTTCCTCAAAAGTTTGGGAACCTCAAAGGAAAAGGCCCTACAGCTCTGTGAGAGTTTAGTGGTGGAAAAATGCCTATAGCTCTGGAAGATCATAGTTTCTCAAAAGATTCTGGAGCCTTGGAGAAAAACTGCCCATAATTTCCTAAACCTTTTACCTGAAAAAGTTTGGTGGAATGGTGTCTGTAGTTCTAGAACCCTTAGTCACATGTTGCCTGTATCTCCAGAACCTTGGTGGAAATGTGCCTATTGTTACACGACCTTGATGGAAAAATGCTGAAAGTTTCTGAAACCTTGGTGGAAAAGTGTGAATCATCCTATCATCTTGGTGGAAACACGCTTATCGTTTTATAATATTGTTGGAAACTTTTGTGCCTATAGTTCTGGGACTTTAGTCCACATGGGACTATAGTTCAAATCTTTGGCGGAAATGTACGGGTATTCAAACCTGGTGATTGTACTGGCCAAGGCATCGCCTGAATTTTCTCAAACCATGCCATCACTTTTTGAGTGGTACAGCATCTTACATTGTTTAGTTAAATTATCCAGTTATTTTATTTGTAGTGTTCTCAAAGTGAACAGTAGGTACAGATCCTTTCAAACCATCAAAAAAAGTTGCTAAACATCAGTTAGTGACATGTTTCTGTGCAACTATTATTGACTCCCAGTATATTTGAAAGAAAAAAATAGCATGAAAAGCAGATGCATTGCATGAATCTTTAGAACTTTGACTGGGACGCCAACAGTTTCTAAGGCTCTGATTGACGTGCTCTCCATGACTGCTGCTAATTATCCAAAGTGTGGCTGAGTATATAACTGTGGCTCTGAATGTTGAGGCTTTGTTTGCATGCCATTTCACATATAATCACACCAGGGCCATCGCTTCTGGGGTTCCTTGTGTATGAGAAAAATAACAGATGTCCCTGAGTGAAAATGTGTGTGTGGAGGATTATATATGGATAAATGTCAGATACACAGCATGCATTTGCAGTAAAGTGTCCTCTACTTGGCTAAATTAATTCTGACAGGACGTTGGGGGGTGTCTAGCACCCACTGTCATAATATTACCCAGGCAAAGTCAAATCAAATCTGTGGGAAAAAGGTCCCCTTTGGTTTCCTCACACAAAGCACTGCTGTGACAAGCCTTCATTATTCAGGTGAGCTTTAAAAAAAACACACACAGCGTACGAACAGGAGGTGTGTGGGTGTGAGCTGGGACTGAAAGTCTCTGGCTGAGTGTGTGTGACCTTCTGTGTACTAGTGATGTGTATGAAATCAGTATATGTGCATGTAATAGGGGTGTGTGCATTGTCGTAGCATTGTGTATGTGCGTGTGTGTGTGTGTGTGTGTGTTATACAGGTGTGTACCACATGTTGTATGGCACCAACGTGTGCAGAAGAGTCTGTGCAGAGGCAGTTTGTGTGTGTACAGTAGTGTCATTTATACAACATGTAGTTCTGACAACACAGTCTGACTGGTTAAGAAGTGTTCTATCTGTATTTTTGATAACATCATGTTTTTTTTCACAACATGACTGAAATGTAACTAGTTGTACTACATGAAGATAAACTATTTAGGCCCTGTTTCCATTGTTTTTTACCATGCTACCACCACTCAGATATGCATCACAATATGAAATGCACTCGCTTTCAGCAGGTTAGCCTCAGTGAGCTAATCGGCTAGCCATGTAAACTAAGGTACAATTTTTTTGAGAAGTTTGAGCATAGCACATGTAACTTACGCAAGTAATAGCTTTGTTTGGCTATAATCTTGGCATAGAGCCGTGTTTTGTTGCCTTTCTTTTTGTTATTGTTAGCTGTGTAGCCTTTAGCATGCTAACTAGCCAGCTAGCAGAGTAAAGTGGAGAAGTTGCATCAGCAGCCTTGTAAGAGATTGAGTAGTTTTTAACCTAAACCCAGCAAATTGAATGCTATGATTTTGAAATGTTAAGCATTTTAAATTGTTTTACTGCTATGACTTATAAGCAGCTTTATCCACCAGTATTATGTAAATTCTGGAAATGGAAATGCATCAGCTCTCAATGAATTTTGGGGAAATTCTTCTGCAGAAGTTGACACTTGTGTTTGCTCCAAGGGGTCATCTAACATCCTTCACTTGAGGTAAAACAGTAGAACAGCGATGTACTTTGGTCCACATTCAGCTGCTGTATTGATCTATGGTGCTCACTAGAAATTACAAGTGCCCTAAAATCACTTTGGAATTCTGTTTTTTATGATTCGGATGCTCAGAGAAAATAGCAGACATACCTAATAGTGCCATAAAATGCAAATAGGGATCCATTTTGGTCACAGCCAAAAATCTTACTGCTATGCTGAGAACTAGTTGAGAACCATGTTGTGACTACTAAATGTACTATAATATTTACTATGTTGTAACTACTAAATGTAATGTTACTAAATTTCCATACAAAAACAGAAAATGGACACATTAGTTAACATCTATAAGATAATAACTGACCTGTAACCCATTTGGTCAGATAAGGAGGAGTTTGACAGCAGGACTACAGTTTCCAGTTTAAATTCCAAACCTGTCATTGCCCCTAAGCAAGCTTTTTAGTCACCAGCTGAAACAACTAAACAACCAAACAAACCAGAAACAGCCAGAAATGAACAAAATACAATTTAGCAAACAAGATGGGCTGTGACATGCTTTACAGATTGGCTGGAACAAAATCATTTCCAAGTTAATCTGGAAAATACTGGAAAAGCTGAGCTGAACCTGATATTGTGTCAGCTTCATGGCTCTACCTGTAATATTTACTGTAGTATTTACTAGTAGGCACATACTAGTTTACAAGTATACAGTTATTAGGGCTTCTTATATTTTTCTTTATTTTGCAGAACAGTATAAATGCAATAGAACATGCAAGGTTGTGTGTTATAATGAATAACATCAGAGTTGTTAAATTTAATATCATGGATATTACTTGTGATAACATATAACATTGTAGTAGAGTGTGGTATATGTGTCACATGCGTGTGTGTAGAAGCAGTACATGTGTGTAACAATAGTGTGTATATTGTGATAGTGTATGTAGGGGTGAAAAAAGCTGTGTATGACATTGGTGTGATCATAATGTGTGTATAGCACAGATGTGTATATAAGCAGAGAATGTGTGCAAAAGGGGTGTGTGTACTGTAGTAATAGTGTATGTAGTGTTTAAGTGCATACTGTGTATGTAGTGAGTTATGTTATGTAGTGTATGTGATGGCGTCTGTGTATCAATAGAGTGTCTTCATTTTTTCACAGTAAGAGAGAATACAAATACAGTATGAAGTAGAACACATTCACACTGCATGATGTGATATTGTTAGCTTTTAGCCGTTAGCTGATGTTCTTCCTGTGGTGTAGTGGCTTTTTGAGTAGTTTGAACACAATAGCCTGCTTTTAGATGCTCATCTTCGTGATGCATTTGTAAGAACTGCACTCTTTTCTCTGTCAGCAGCAACCACATTACACAAAGACTTACACACACATACACAAACACACACACACACACTTACACACGTACTCACACACCTGCTCCAAGGCCAACCACTCACTAATTACAGCAAAAAATTATACTCTTTCACACTCACAGTCTTCAGGGACACAGAGAAAGAGAGAGAGAGAGAGAGAGAGAGAGAGAGAGAGAGAGAGAGAGAGAGAGAGAGAGAAACAGAGAGAGAGGAATAATGCTTCATTATTTGTACTCAGATTTAAACAACCCTGATTAAAGTGACATTAATCTGGAAACAATTATACCACACTCAACTCGTTTCAATCACCAACACCACACGACAGGGCAAGAGACAGAGAGAGAGAGAGAGAGAAAGAGAGAGAGAGACAGTGAATACTGTTCATATTACACTATATAATTACTCTGTACAACCACATGTTGACAACATACCTGTCCCAGGGTTTTAATCAAATCTGCCTGATACTGCTGCTAATCGAACACATACACAGACACACACACACGCATAGGCACACAGGTAGGATATGTGTGATTTAGGCTTTAATATGAAATAGACTTTAATATTTGAAGTGACAGAATGGTTTATTTTTGCACTGCAGCCATAAAGCTAATGTAACTAGGAAATAATGGAAACATATACTCTAAAATCATCACACACCTGCCTCAAACCATGTCGAGTTGTTAAGT